AGCTATTCAGCTAGCCATACCCTTACTGGGATTAGAACCTGTGCTGTATTACATTTTAGGCAGTTGTGTTAACCACTAACACAAGGTTCTCCTCCTTTATCAGCTGAGCCAGGGAATTAGGTATGTATTTAGTGTCACAACCCCTGGTATGCCCAAATATGGGAGGAGGCCTACTGCTTCCTTTCTCTGTCTATATATATTGCACATATGTCCTAATCATTCTCAACTCTAGGGAGTAGTGCTCATCTCCGTTTCAAAGCCGAAGAGCCAGCATTGTCTGAAGACATCTTGGTGGTCATGTGGTCAAACGCTGAAGGCGCACGGAACTTCCCATCAAAGTGGCCCCTATTTTTCTACTTGCATTTTTACATCCTTTCAAACTGCTAGGTTGGCAGAAGCTGGGACCAGTAACAGGAGCTCACTCCGTTACATGGCACTAGGGATTTGAACCGCCGAACTGCCTACCTTCCTGATCGACAGGTTCAGTGTCTTAGCCATGAGCCACCACATCCCCATTAAGAATGTATTACTCACTACTGAAGAAGTCAGCATGTTTTGTTAGAAGTGAAACTTTGAAAGATAGACCAGCAGATACCAATTTATTATAGTATCAGTTGGCAACTGGACATGAGATAGCAATAATGCTCACTGTTGTTTTGAAAGATGGTCATATTTGCTAAGGAAATCAATCCTCTGCTAAACATATACATTTTATTTCCTATTCGTTTATAATGAGTTTTCCTATATCTTTATTTTTCGCTGAAAATGTAACATCACCTGCGTATCTCAAAATTTGTCCCTGCTTCCTGTTTTGATTCATCTAATATATCTGCCCGTTTTGCCATATCTGTAATACAATTGTTATATATTTTAAACAGATATACCTATTTCACTATCTCCCTTCCCTATTCTGAACCACTCAGCATTGAAAAAAACCTTTCATACTGTACATATTATATTGTTCTTTGTAAAAGTTCTTCAAAATAATAGTTATGTGTTCTAGCTGATGTATTATAGTCTATTCTGTATTCCAACATGATCTACACAATCAGAAAACTGGTGTAGCTGATAAAACAAAGATAACACATCGTTTTATTTTGTTTCTTTCACCTTTGGTCCGAAGCTTTACTGTTTGGTATTTTATTTTCTATTCTTTTTGTAAATTTTTAAGCAAATGTCTGTGATGTGAAGAATTAGTGCAGATTCAATAATTTGCTTCCCCCCCCCCTTACATTTTTAGATTTTCCAGTCTCCAGGCTGCGGAGTCTTGTTTCATATTTATTGACATAGAATTGTTAACACTTTAACTGGCCCTTTGCCACTTTAAACAATTCAGCGGGTGTTTTCTTTTACTTGATAATTGATCTGACCTATTGTCTGACATTTCACAGTTTCTAATGGAATTGACTTATGAATATATTCTTTCTCTGCAAATATTTATGTTATTTAACACCCTGTTGGTAAAGAATCTGTTAGGTCTTTCTGACATTTCTTAAGTTGGTTTTGATTCTTCTATGATTAGTGTTGCGTATTTTTGTGCTAGTTGTAAGTTTTCCTGTGATTGCTTTAATCTTCTTAAAAACTCTCTCATTCCTCTTTTCTTGTTATATTCCACTATTTGTTGACATTTTTGACTGAATTTTTTTGCTTGAGGTTGGAAGTCGAGTTTCAATTTTGGCAATTTACTGCTAATATCCTGCGATGTGCATTCTATAATATTTCTTCTTTTTATTTTCATAATTCTCCCAGGATTGTCAATTAAAAGTTTTTTCCCCCTGTATTTATTAGCGACCAGCAGAAACTGTGGATGAGGAAGAAAATGTATCACCAGAACATAAAGCTTTAAAAAAAAGAGAATATGCAACGATGAATGGAGAAAATGGAGAGGCTATTAATGGAATGGAGGAAGGCAAAGAGAAACAGAATGACCATTATCAAGATGAATTACAAGGGCAGAACCTTGACCAAGCAGGACAAGAGGCTAATGGCCACATGCATGGTAGCACAAATGAAGAAAATGGTGAGGAAATGGATCCCAATAGTCATCCAGAAGAAACAAAAGAAGGTATTGATGATCAAATCCAGGTAACATGTCTTTGTCTTTTGTGTACCTGTGTTAAAATTTTTCCATTTGTCTGCTATAGCAATAGGTTAGTCTGCAATCAATTTGCATCACCCTTGGTGTCGCAGTTTTAAGGAAACCGTTCTCTTTGTGATGATTCTACTGGAATTTTCATAGGGGATACTGAATCTTGTAATATAAGAATGTTGGATATTACCTGCAAAACACCTCTGTGCATTCTGATCACAGTTATACACTAGAATTGATAACACTATCTCTCAAACAATGCATTTGCTAAATTGAGTTTATTTGCTTTATATGAAATCAGCGGAAACATGCATCCACAAAAGTATTGAGGTCTGTGAAGCATCACATGTTTTATCCATCAGAACATCTGATACCAGTCAAAAGCAGATGCTGTTTAGTTGCCATGATGGATTTTCCCGGGATGTAGAAATTTAAGCAAGGATGGGTTTGGTTTTTTTAAATCATATAGTTACCTTAATCCTCAGTTGCCCCATTTCCTTTTATTTCTGCAAGATAACTTATTCATTTTTACTAGCAAAAACATTTTTCTAATCACACAGACACACACAGACACACACAGACACACACACACACAGAGTATTAGTAGCTTTATCACTAGAGATTGTGCTTGCTGTAATCTAATGAAGCTAATCCATACACATAGAGAAGGGTTAGAAGTTTGATAAGGAAAAGCAGTTGGCATGCTCAGTGATGACTTCCAACTTGCAGAATTCATAGCTTCTTTATCATTATGAATATGCATACACACTAAGAAACTAAATATGACTTTATGACACAAATATGTCAAATTCAAATGTGTTTCTTTCTTCTAGGTTGATTCCAATGGGGTTTATGAAAAAGTCCCAGCTCCAAGAGTCACCATCACCAGTCCACAAGAAAGTGAGAAGAATGAACAAACCAATGACTATGCAGCCGTGGCATAGGAATATTTTAGAAGACATATATTCTCAGAAAATGAAGAATTTTATGTTTGGAACAAAGGGTGTCATTTTCCACATTTGGTTAATTTATGGTATAATAATATGATGGAACTTTTTTTACCCATTGTGCCTTGACATGAAAAGAATATTCAGACACAACTTCATTAAAGGGATGTCCATTAAAAGGAAGTTTAAATTATAAATGCCGACACAAGATACCAAATTTTAAGGGAATATATTAATGAATAGGGTCATTATGGAAGATGAAATATTAAAACATTAGCCCTAGGTAAGTTCACAAGAAAGAGATTAAAAAAAACAGGTGAATGAGCTAAATGATATTTTTGTGTTTTTTTTTAAAAAAAGACTTTAAAGCTTTTTAAGATGAATACATATTTATATAAGCTGCAGTGTATTCAAAAAATTTACATTACTACTAGGGGTATGACTCTTTGTGATAAGGTGAATGTGGCTAGGACTACATTAGACTTGATCCTTAACCTTAACTGACTTCTACTATATTTAAGAGCTTTTTCTATTAGATTCATTTTATATTTACATGTGGATCTGCTCTCCCCACTGAAAGGAATGGGAAACCACTGCATGTATAAGATAGCAGCATATACTGATTGGAACCCTCATGCCTGGAATGAATTGCTGAATCAGTGGACAGAATGTGGTCACAAAACAAAGAAGGTTTATTAGATCAATTAACTATAGAAATCCTGCTGCATGCACATTAATTGATATATCCTGCATGCAGTTACATTATTGTGAATTTTGATGATTGGCTGCTGATTGGATTTTGAAAGTAAGTACATTCATAAATTCATCCAACATTATTTTGTTCTGTGCAGCAGAGGTTGGTTGCACCCGGTTCGGCCCGGATCAGGTGAGCTGGTAGTGGTGGCAGCGGGAGGCTCCGCCCATCTGGATGCTTCTGCGCATGCACAGAAGCGTCGCGCACGTGTGCAAGCGTGCATGCCAGCACGAGCAAACAGGTAGCGCCAGGATTTGCAACCCACCTCTGCTGTGCAGGTTATGCTAGTTTAAGTCAAATATTCCTTCAAGTCAAAAGATTCTTCTAATTGTTCCCATCAGGAGCAATCTGAATAATCACGGCGAGTTGCTATATAAACTTACCGCTTATGTCCACTTTTTTAAACCCAGGACACATAACCAATCACAATATTATGGTTTGATAATTTTTTTTAAAAAACCCTATTATTTTCAAAATTAACTCCAACTGGCAAATCATGTTCCCTTTGTCTTAAAGTTCAGTTTATGAAAAACTGATATTTTCAAATACTGAAAAACTATTGATAGTTTGTATATATCTCCATTTATGCTGGACTCTCAGACTCCAGAAAGAGGCTTAGTTTTAAACTGTTATAGGAGTTAATGCTCACTAGGGTCATATGTTTGTTTTATGTGAGATCTGTAATTACTTCTAAATTTTGCTGATAGCCCTTGTTCAAGCCATTTGTATTATATAGGTTGAATCTTTATTCTAAGTTGATATGTTTAGCTTGTTTTTTTACAAATAATTTGACCACCTTAAAATATCTTTGTTGTTATTATATATGAATAACTGAACATGTTTTAACATGTAATCCTGAGGCTGACCTACAGACAGCTAGTCCGAATTTTTGTCTACCCTATTCTAATAACAGTATCCATATTGATGCTATAGTTAGCCACTGACATTTGCTAACTATGCAGATAGCATAGCTAGCTAATGCCATTTTAATCAGAAGGATTGTAACTCAATTCAAAAAGTGACCCTCCCAGTTCAATTAGTGTTCCTAGAAATTAATTTATCTCTAAGCTGATGTGACACTGAATAAATGCTGTCTGTAGACCCTCAACCCTCTGTTTTCAGTGATAGAAGTAATAGCGAGAGATTGATTTGTGGCCACCGAACACATTTTTACTCATTATATACTGATGTTTCAAATATGGTTAATTGGCCTTTGAAAATAATTCTTGTCCTATCAGATCCTGGATCCATTTATGTACTCGTTTTAAAACTGCTTTGGTTGTTTGTACAAAAGATGGATAAATGGATGCAGCTTATTAAAACATCAATATTTTTTAAAAGAATATATTTTAAAGAAAATATACTTTTGGAAGCAAATATATATATATAGTATATATTGATTTGTCAAACATATTTAATGAAAGCATTATAAATAAAATTATATGCCCTGATTCTATTTGCTGCCTTTTCCTAATATCTAGTAGTTTTCTTTTCCAAAGGAATTTCAGATGTGAGGATTAATTGAAAAGAAAGATTTAGTAAAAGTAATCAGTTAAATAATAAAGTAAAAATATTTGCTACAAGTAACAAGATGTACCTTCCACTAGATTATCTTATTAAATATTACTTTTTTGTGGAATAATAACCTACTACCTAAAAGTCTGTAGAGACGATCAGCTGTCTGCAAGGAATATAAATCTTTCATCCCCCCATCATCCAGTCAGAGCTGAAGAAACTTGTTGGATGAGAAGTGAAACGTCTTCAAAGAAAAACAAGGAAGTCCAGTTGCCTCCTGAAAAAGCATCTTTGGGACAATCATCTACCTACTTACTGCTGTATTCATTTTTGTTTCCTTGCTTTATTTATTTATAAATCCTTTCAACTGTCAATATTAAAATTGGTGGTTTATAAAGAAGAACAGCAACAAGCCCAATCAACAACAAATATAATATCAAAATTACATTAATATTCTAATAATTATGAATCAGCATATCTGTCACTAATTATTGCTGTCAGTCCCCTGGAACAATCATGTTTTTGAAAGGTTTCTAAAAGGCAAGCAATTCCACAGAAGGGCAGCTCCCCCTGGAGTTCCTGTCTTTGGGTTACCTTATGCCATATTTCTCAGTAGGTGGGGATATTCAGTGGCCTCCGTTCAGTCCAGCTGGGCAGACAGAAGGTAGCTTCATAGACACCTAGGCCTTGAGTCCTNCACACATGCACGCTGGGGTCATGCATATAGCATTATGGGTATGGGCAAGCCCGCACATGATCCCCCTGCACTCCTTCTGCATTTGGCACATGATCCAAATAAGATTAACCATCTCTGTCCTATGCTAACTCTGTAAACTGCTTAGAGAGGGCTATAAAGCACTGTGAAGCCGTATATACAGTAAATCTATTGTTGTTGGTATTGTGCCTTTAATTTATTTCTTTCATGGTTTTTTTTTAACTTCTTTTACTACTGCAGTTCGGGTAAGATGACTTACTCTGAAAGGAAGAAATATGTATCTTTATATGCATGTAATCAATTACAGTTAACGAAGGCTAATGAAACCAATATCAAATGGTTGCTTAGATGTAGTCCTGTTATCTTCAGTGAAAATTACTCCTGTGTGAATATGCATTTGACTCTTTGCATATATGCCATAATAAGCACTAGTTTTGATTTTTGATACTGTTTTGATACCCTATATAAACCAATTTTCTTAAGCCTCAGACTTTTAATATGATTTAGGATAATTACTAAGCAGATATGAAATCCTTTTAACAAGCTACTAGGTAAGTTCTGATCCCTTGGGTCATCATTTGAGATAAACTGTACTTCCTTGCCTAAACAGGTAGGTTAAGAATGAGCACCAGCAGGCGAAAAAGCAGTGGGAGTATGTAGTGACTTCTGACTTCCTGTCAAATTCCCCCTTGACTTTCCTAGTAGAAAGCTGGCAGGGTGCTTTAGAAAGGACAATCATATGTGGCAGTCTGTTGGCACTAAATGGGCCACAACATTGCCAAATTTCAATCCCACAGGAGTCATAGATCCCAAATTTTGGACATATTCCATAAGTTAGCACAACTGAGGTACTTTGATTCAAAAATTGTTGCCCTATGAGCAGGGGTGGGTTTCAACCGGTTCCCGGCGGTCCCCGAGAACCGGTTGGTCGGCGAACCCGGAAGTAAGTAACTTCCGGGAACGGCGAAGGGCCCACCCACCTGCCTGCACTTCTTACCCGGTTTTGACGAGTTCTGCGCTTCCACACATGTGCAGAACGCATACAGCGCCTGCGCCATCCTCCAGGAGCAGCTGGAGCATCGCACAGACGCTAGTATGCATGCGTGCACCACACGGGTGCACGAGGACGCCGCCGGCCCCATTCCAACCGAACCGGTTGGAACAGGGCGAGAAACCCACCCCTGCCTATGAGACACC